CCTCCCATCAGCCACACATCCTTGGTCGTACACTCAACCCAAATTCCCGACAGTACCTGCTACCTCTAAGCCAAACGCAGTGGCACATCCATCTCTGCCAAAACCACTGGTGAGACCCACTGCTCAGCCCCACAGCAGGGCGCAGCGTGCAGCATTGAGCTGCTGAGAAAGACACAGCTTAAAATCCACCTGTCAGCCAGTCAGTGCAGCACCTGCAAACACTTAGCAACTCCATGGAGAAAAGGAAAAAGTTCAGATACAAACAAGTCCCCTTAAGGGTTACTATAGACCGAAAAAAAAAAAAAAAAAAAAACATATTATTTCAGAAAGTTAAAGCCACAAACGAAAGTGGTCAGGGAATTTTCATTCTGATCTATTAATTCCCTGTGTACAGAAGCTGCTAATGCAGTCACAAGAAAAACATGCATGAACCCCAGAGGGCCAAACCTTGCCACCACTGCTTCCTGCCCCTTTTCTGTCCTTTTTAAACCATGGTAGCCTCTAATAACGTCTAACTGAAAACTCTACACCTGGTTAACTTTTTTTTTTAACGTAGTCTAACTCTGTCACCCAGGCTGGAGTGCAGTGGCATAATCTCAGTCACTGCAACCTCTGTCCCCCGAGTTCAAGTGATTTTCCTGCCTCAGCCTCTCGAGTAGTGCGGATTACAGGCATGAGCCACCACACCAGGCTAGTTTTTGTTTAGTAGAGACGGGGTTTCACCATGTTGGCCAGGCTGGTCTTGAACTCCTGACCTCAGGTGACCCACCCCCCTCAGCCTCCCAAAGTGCTGGGGTTACAGGCGTGAGCCCGTGCCTGGCTTATGCCTGGTTAACTCTTACTGATCAAAATCAAAGTACGGATGACAAAGCCAAGAGAATCTGGGAAGTGACATTGCTGAGGTCTGTCACCAGGGAGGCCCGGAAGAGGTCAGCACCTGGAGGATGATGCCTAGTTCAGGAAGCGCTGCACAGAGTGGCCACCCTCCACCCCCGGGTTCACCGGGAAGCTCGCTCCCCTCCGTTTCTACTCCTGGCTGATGGCTGCAAGTGAAGTGGGGCGGAGGGGGAGGAGGTGGTGCGGTCTTCTGCCACGGCCACAAGCCACAGGCATTCGCCTCCCCAGCTGCCTGAAATTGGCAGGACAGGAGAATTCTATTTTAAAGCAGAGTTGGACAGAGTATAACAACATGAGATTAAAAAGTTGTTCCCAAAATGACAAAATATAAATATTAAAATGAAGTTTCCAGTGAATATAAACATCTTTACCAAAAAATAGTTTATTGCACAAAATTTAAGGAATTCCCAAGCACACTTAATTTGTAAAAAATCAACGTGCTTTTTTTTTTAAAGTTACACTTTGTCAGACATGGTGACCCCTTTCTCCAGAACCGCCACAACTTGAGAACTCTCTTTTGTGAGGAAATTTTTAATACAAATGAGTAACTCAAAAGCACTGCATTTTCCAGACCGTCTCAGAGCCTGAGATCACCACAGGGTGAGACTTGCCGGGACCTTCTGGTCAGTGAGGCTCAGGAACGTCTCACCCCACAGCATCACTCAAGCCGCTCCTCGCGTCAGAGGCCCCGGGATGTTCCTCTCAGATTTGCTGGTCCCCTCAGGCCCTCCTAGAATCTTGACACACAACATTCTGTTTTTGTTTAACATGTCGTGGAAGTGGGAGTCCATGTTGTGGTGACTACAGGCCCATGGCTTTGGTGGTATCCCTGTGCCAAGGAAGGGAGTTGAGCCAAGCTCGCTAGGGCAGCCCAGTGCCCACAGGCCGTGTTCTGGTGGGCACTGCCCCTGCTTGGCCCGGCCTGAGGAGAGTCAGTTTCACATCCTATTAAAAACACTGCTTGATCCATATTCCAAAGACTGGGAACACACCCGTGGCATCAGTCTCACATATACCATGGAAAAATACACGAAAACCACGTTACATTTTTTTGGGGAACGTAAGAAAAACAAGAAATGACATCATGAAGTGCCCAAGCCAACATTCCCGGCGAGGCTGTGACACACGGCATGGTGATGAACACGCCGCATAATTCGACGGGGACCCTGTTCTATAAGCAACACGCCCAACTTGAAATATCGTCATCATTCCCACAACAACAATTCAAACTTTACTCACTGAAGAATCTAACTCTGGGAGGTAGAAGTGCCAGGAGAGTCCCTTGGAGAGAACAAAAAAACCTCAACAATAAAGAAAGCAATTTAAAAATCCAACTTCAGCCAGGGGTGGGGGCTCACGCCTGTAATCCCACCACTTTGGGAGGCCAAGGTGGGTGGATCACCTGAGGTCAGGAGTTCCAGACCAGCCTGGCGAACATGGTGAAACTCCACCCCTCTAAAAATGCAACCATTAACCAGGTGTGGTGGCAGGCACCTCTAATCCTAGCTACTTGGGAGACAGACGCAGGAGAATCATTTGAACCTGGGAGGTGGAGGTTGCCGTGAGCCGAGACTGCGCCACTGCACTCCAGCCTGAGCGAGAGCAAGACTCCATCTCCAAAATAAAAAAAATTCAAAAAAAATCCAACTTCCTCGTTTAGGTGTCTTCTTAAGGAAGCCTGAAGGCAGTATCTGCATGACCACAAAAGGCCTCTGATCCAGAACCACCCGCCGTGCATGAAAACACCAAGAGAAAACAGAAGACTCACAGTAGGGAGCAAAGGCAGCCAAGCCCCGCCAAACTGGAGGGGCCCTGGCACAGGTGGCGACAGAGCGCCAGGGGGAGGCACTGCGCCCGAGGGCACACACAGAAAAACTAGCGTGAGAAGCGTGGAGCTACTGTCACTTGAGTATTTTCCGAATCACTTTGTCCTAAGAGAAAACAAATACACAGTGAACATCACTCACTTAGGACTTTCCACAAACAAGAAGTCGCTCCCCACCAAATGTCTGTGGGATTTCTTGATTTTATTTATTTTTCTCTATAGACAGACTCTGGCTTTGTCGCCCAGGCTGGAGTGCAGTGGTGCAATCTCGGCTCCCTGCAACCTCCGCCTCCCGGGTTCAAGCGATTCTGCCTCAGCCTCCCGAGCAGCTGGGATGACAGGCTCGTGCCACCACGCCCGGCTAATTTTTGTATTTTTAGTAGAGATGGGATTTTGCCATGTTGGCCAGGCTGGTCTGGAACTTCTGACCTCAGGTGATCCGCCTGCCTTGGCCTCCCAAAGTGCTGGGATTACAGGCGTGAGCCACCAAGCCCGACCCGATTTGATTTTAAAATGAAAACAAAGGGGCAAGCTGGGCACGGTGGCTCAAGCCTGTAATCCCAGCACTGTGGGAGGCTGAGACGGGTGGATCACGAGGTCAAGAGATCGAGACCATCCTGGTCAGCATGGTGAAATCCCATCTCTACTGAAAATACAAAAAAAAATTAGCTGGGCATGGTGGCACGTGCCTGTAATCCCAGCGACTCAGGAGGCTGAGGCAGGAGAATTGCCTGAACCCAGGAGGCGGAGGTTGCGGTGAGCCGAGATCGCACCATTGCACTCCAGCCTGGGTAACAAGAGTGAAACTCTGTCTCAAAAAAAAAAAACAACAACAAAAAAAAAACAAAGGGGCAGTATAGCCAAAATAAATAAGAACGTAAATTACCATATTTTTTTCTCTAATAGTACATGAACGATTTAGTAAATAACATCTTCAACTTAAGATAAAAAGTAGGATATATTTATAATGAATTTTTCAAGTATTATTTCAAAATTAACCCTGTACAAATGATACATATATTTTGGAAGTTCCAATACTTGCTAGAGAATATTTTTTAAACACCAAACATCTCTGTGGTTGATGCTACCTTAACCTTACCAATTAACCTTCTAAAAGTATATTACAACACAACACAAATAGCTTAAAAACTCCATACCATTTCTCCACAAACAGACACAAGTAAGATATGGACATGAGCACATCTGGACTTGCCAGTGACACTCAGAACCTCGTTCAGACATCTGCAAAGGAGGCCATGCGGACCCATTTTCTCTCTCTCCTAACTCATACAATAAATTATTTTAGATTTTCTTAGCAAACTAGGGGACAACTTACAGACCTCAGCTCTCCCGGCCAGCCAGTGTCTGCCGTGTTTCAGGATTTGGAGTGGGAAACAGAAGATCTCACACACTAAGCGCTATTTTTAAATAAGGCATCTGTTTCTGAGACACCTTGGGAGACCACAGCGACCTTCCTCACGGTGCTGACCTGTGTCTTCCAGAAAGTGTCTCTGCTCTGCAGACGATGCTGGTACAGCCACAAAGGACCCAGGACTTCTCTTGATGACTGCACCAATACAGGCGTTCCTACACACCCTGGTAAAGATTTTCACTTGGGGCACAGAAGTGCAAGGACTGCAGAAAGGCTTATTACCACCTGTGGTCTACACCTGGCTGTGGCTCCAGTGGAAACCGCAGGAGTCCATGCAGGGAGCCCCTGCCGGCTCTCCTCCTCCTCCACTCTCCTTCTTTTCCCTTTGGCCTCTCCCTGTGCCCCCCAAATGCCAGGTCAGACACGGGGTGTGTCCGGATGGCCGTCAGGCCTGACCAAGGGTCTGAGCTGCCCCTTCCCAATGGCAGTGACCTGAGAGGAAGAGACTGACAGGAAGGAAGGGCCCTCAGCAACAAAGTAAAACCAAAACAACAAAGAACCCTTTCTGGGTAAGGATATTTGGCTTTAGAAGGTAAATAAATTATAGTTATTAGAATTTTCTAACTGATATCCCTACATCCTACAGGTACATATTCCCAACAACACATTTCAAAAGGCAATCAGTAAGAAAACAAGTATGTTCGCCTTAAATAATATGAGCATATGCTTCTTAAAGACTGGGTTACAGGCTGGGCACGGTGGCGCACGGCTGTAATCCCAGCACTGTGGAGGCCAAGGCGGGCAAATCACTTGAAGTCAGGAGTTTGTGACCAGCCTGGCCAATGTGGTGAAACCCCGTCTCTACTAAAAATACAAAAATTAGCTGGGCATGATGGTGTGTGCCCATAATCCCAGCTACTCAGGAGGCTGAAGCAGGAGAATCATTTGAACCTGGGAGATGGAGGTTGCAGTGAGCTGAGACCGTGCTACTGCACTCCAGCCTGATGGCAGAGCAACATTGTCTCAAAGAAAAGCCTGGGTTACGATCTTCAGTGTCTATGTTCACATCCTGTGGTGGGATGGCTATCAAAAAAACCAAGAAAGTAAAAAGCCAAAGATGCAAATAAAGTTTCGTCTGCAGAGAAGCCCTCGCTGAATGGACAGGGAAGTGGGCGGGTGCTGGTGCCACAGACCCTGTCACGCAGAGCTTCTCCCAGCCACTGACTGCGGCACCACGCAGAGAGCAGCACCGGACAGGCCCTTTGGCAAGTAACCTCCAGACACAGTAGAAACTCCTCCCCGAATGCCTCCGGGCTTGGAAGATTTGGTCATTCCACGGGAAAAGCTACTTGTGATCTTCGAGTGTGTTTCTAATCCTCAGCTCTCGATCCGTTACATACTTTACTCCTCGTTAAATTCCATCTCAGAAAAACATGGATCACACAATCAAATAAATAACATTGCTAAGAGCATTCCTGGGCCGCAGCGCACACGCAGGCCTGCGGCGGTCACTGTCCCGGCCCTTCTTTGGAAACCCTGCTCTGGCTGTGCCTCTGAGTGTCACCCCGGGGGTTGGCATGATCCCCAGGGGGTGCAGGGCTGGCAGTGGTGGGCTCCGCGAGTCGGCCTTCCACCTGGGTCCATGAGGACAGGGACTCGTGCACTGTGAGGGTGTGCTCCTCCATCTGGCGCTGCAGGCTGTCCATCTCCTGCCTGGGAGACAGAAGGCAAAGAAGGCCCAGGTCACACGAGGGCCAGGTCTCAGAACACAGCAGCAACAGGCCTGACCCCGACGTGCCCTTGCTCACTAGCACCTGAGTGGACATGGGTGCCTTCAGGGACCCGCAAACCAGCCGAGGCCACAGAAGCTCATCGTCCGTGGCACTGTTCTCTACACTGTGCACAGGCCAACAGATGTGGCTCTGGCTTCTGCTTCCACTGGGTGTGTGCAGAGGACACAGGCTCAAGGACCAGTCCTGACCAGGCCGCCACGGAGTGGAAGCTGTCACTGAGGCCTGGCACACACACTTCTACTCCCTGTTACCTGCCCTCGGGACGCCACCTGGCCCCGCCCTACACACACTGCCTCAGCCTCAGGCTGCCAGGTGTGCCGTGTGTGGCCTTCCAGCTCCCAGGGGCCTGTCAGGGTAGTTTAACGGCAGGCAGTTTCCGTCTTGCCATCTGAGTTCAGAGACTGCATGTGTGAGTTACCCCTACTTTACATAAACCTGCTCAAACTCTGCTGGGCATTCATTCGATGCTGGCACCAGGAGAGTCCTCCCAGCTAAACAGGGCATGAATCTTGAAGACTAGCTAAAGCACAGCATGGAGCACGGTCGTACTTAAGCTGCTGGAGGCAGCTGTTCAGGTTCTTGAGGGGCTCCTTGCTCACGGCGGGCGGGGGCCGCAGCAGCTCCTCCAGCAGTGAGGCCGGGACCGGGCAGTCGGGGATCTTGATGGGCGTGGCGGGGCTGGAGGAGCTGGCCTCACCTTTTGGCTCCTTCCTCTGTTTTTAAAAGCACATGGTTAGATTTCCCACTATCCCCTCCCTCGTCCCATCCCTCAGGCCAGTCACACTAGCACACATGTGGCAGACGGGCCTCCCTAGCTGGATGGATGTGGGGCCTCTGGGAAGGGGACAGGCCCGGCCGCTACGGCAGCACAGCCTGACAGTCCCTGGAGCTCCCGAAGAGAGAGCTGAGTAAACACCTTTATTCCCAAGGCACAAAACCACAGCAAAGCAGAGACAACCTAAGTCCTGGGTCCGCAGGAGGGCAGAGCCCAGCCATAAACTACAACTCTCATAGAATCCTGGGCCGAGCCGTAAACTACAACTCTCACAGAATCCCGGGTCCGCAGGAGGGCGGAGCCCAGCCGTAAACTACAACTCTCCTGGAAGCTTCCCATCAGAGACGCAAGGCCTTGACTTGAAACTTTCCTCAGAAATTAAATTTCCAGCTTAGGCTCCCTTTTCTAGGACTTAAAACTTTTTCCATTGGGCACGGTGACTCACATGCCTGTAATCCCAGCACTTTGGGCAGCTCAGGCAGGCAGATCACGAGGTCAAGAGATCGAGACCAGCCTGGCCAACATGGTGAAACCTCGTCTCTAACAAAAATTGAAAAATCAGCTGGATGTGGTGCAGATGCCTGTAGTCCCAGCTGCTCAGGAGGCTGAGGCAGGAAAATCGCTTGAACCCGGGAGGCGGAGGTCGCAGTAAGCCAAGATCGAGCTACTGCACGATCAGCTTGGCGACAGAGCGAGACTCCATCTAAAAAAAAACCCCAAAAACAAAAAAAAAACTTTTTCCACAGATAGACACACGACACTAAGCGGCCTCTGAATCCCAGCGCTGCCCTCCCTCTTGCCTCCTGAAAAGCACGGATGTGTACCGAACACAGAAGCCGCCAGGCACCTGGGCACCACTCCCGGGCCCCAGCCCTTCACACACAGCAGGGACTGCCTAACATACAGCCAAGTCACAGAGCAGCCTCTCATCTGCTTTACAAGGCACGTGAGAGCAATGTGGCATTGAATTCACGGGATGAGGCAGACGCTGTCAGGAAAAGGAACCAGAGTGAAATGATTTCGTCTGTCATCCAAGCAGGATACTCCATTACCATTTACTTTACACAGCAGCTGCTCAGTGTTGGTTCCACATATCCATTTATGTCTGAATGACTAGAACATCTGCCAGCCTCCCCTCCCAACGAATCTACGGCACACGTCAGCCACCCCGGAAGGGGCACGGGCCTGAGTACCGTCTTTACTGCGCTGCGGCGCAGATCCAGCTTGAGCTGCTGGTTTTGCTGGAGCAGGGTCTTCATGTTGTTCTTCAACTCCGACACTTTTGCCTGGAGCATAAATTTATCCTTCTGGGTCATGGACAGATCTTCCTGGGCCAGCTCCAGCTCAGACTTGACATTCTATGGAAAATGAAGTCAGATATTTAAAAGATCTGAGTCTGTATTTTCACAGGTCAAGTGCACACACGTCCTCCTCGTAGCCACCCTCTCCAGCCATCCAGACGGTGAGGCCAGCTGCGATCACACCCTCCACATTCTTACCCACAGTCCACAGCCCAGTCCTTGGAGCCTGCGTGTCCCCATGACCACATTCTACACAAACTCCAAAGTCTCCTGGTTCAAATCCCAGCCTTACTGCTGGAATGAGCCTCACTATGCGTAGGGCATGCAGGCTGAGTGGCCCTGATCCAAAATGCCAGCAGTGTTTCAAATGCTGGGTTTCTGAACATTTGCATTACACCTACCAGCTGAGTAGCCCTACTCCAAAATCTGAAATGTTCCAATGAGCATTTCCTTTGTCATGTTGATACTCAGAAAGTTTCAGACTTTGGATTTTTGCTTCTGTTTTGTTTTTTAGGGCAGGGTCTCACTCTCACCCAGGATGGAGTGCAGTGATGCCACCACAGCTCACTGCAGGGCTTGAGTGATCCTCCTGCCTCAGCCTCCCAAAGTGCTGGGACTACAGGCAGGAGCCACTTGCCTGTAGTCGGATTTTGGATGATGGACACTCCTCTGCCTGTACCTATGAATAAATTCTCACTGTGACTCAAGCCCCCCATTTACAAGGAGGACTCAGCAATTACGCTCCTTTCCCAAGCAGTCAAGACCAAACCCTGAGCTCTCTGTAGAGAAGCTTATGGCAAATTGGCAACCTTTTCACATGCACCCTCCCATTTGCTGGACTCCATGAAATCACGTTCTTGGTCCATGTCACACGGTGCAGCCAAGGGATGGGAGCTGGGCCAGCCCTTCCCCTGTCCCGCCACATGATGTGGACCAGGTGACTTTGCGAGCGCCCAACTCGGCGAGGGTGCCAGTGACCCGAGAGCACCACCTGGCCTCAGGCCGCACAGCGCAGGAACCTGGGGAGGTGCTGCTCCCACCGCGCCCAGAGCCTTGCACGCAGGTACCTGCAGCAGCTGCTGGAGCCCTTCCAGCTCCTTTCGGCCCTGCTGCTCCGCCAAGTCCAGCTGCTGCGTCAAGGACCGGATTTCTCTTTCTTTCTGATCCACCTCCCATTTGAGATCTTCCATCTAAAAAGGGGAAAGTCACATGACCAAAAGAATGTCAATGGGTCTTCACTGCGCTAGAAAATGGCTCTAGCTGTGTTTCGACTCATCTTCTACCACCACAGTAAGAAAACCATCACGACGGACAGAAGTCACCCAGGCCACCCCGCACAGGCCAGCCCTGAGAGCTGTCACCTCTTGGTTTCCCACGGGCTGCTTGTTGAGCTGCTCGTCCAGCTGCTTCTGTAGGAGCTGGAGCTGCGCCCGGGCCTCAGCCAGCTCTGCCTGGAACTGTGCTATCTCCTGGGAATGTTTCCCCTCCTGAATCCTAGCGTAGAAAAACAAGGAAGAACGGAATTGCCGCACTCCTCCAGCGTGCTGTGCCGTCCCGCTGGGAAACGCTACCCATGGAAGGCGACCATCCTGGCAGACCCTCTGCTGTGCGCCCCACGCTGCGGCCAAGCTTGGTGCCCCTGACATGCGCTTGGGCACTCCTCACAGAGCCCCTGAGGCCCACGTTTCACCAGCACCCCTCACAGACTCCAGAGGGTGCCGGCCCCAAGACCACCGCGCATGGGGGTCCCACAGAGCCACGGCATCAGCCCCGCACCAGCATCTTACCTGAAGCTGAGCACGCATGCTGGGCACTTTTTGTGTTGGGGAAGGACAGGCAAGGTGGGGAGTGGACACAGGGCAGTGAGTGAAGCTCAGGCTTCTGGAGACAGAAGCTGGGTGTCTTCTACCCCTAGGCTTTGCACTCAAGTACTCAGTAATTTGCAAAATGCAGGGGACCCTCGCTGTGCTGAAGGTGCGGAGTCAGACCCCACCCGCTGCCACACAGCTGTGTGTGAGTCCTTGTGTGGCCGGGCCCAGGACTCACTGAAGGCCATCGGCCTCAGCCTGCAGCTTCTGCACCAGGTGTTCCTTGGCCTGCAGCTCCTTCTTCACCTCACTCAGCTCCAAGGAGGCCGCCTTGAAGTGGCGGCGGTTGTGCCCGGCTTCCACCTTGGCAGCAGCCACCTAGGAGGAAGGAAGCCACGTTGTCCATGCCCGGAGTGTCCTGCATGACAACTGCAGCTTTATGACATGCCGGGCACAGAAGGCAAAGCCACTCCCGGCCCCACGCACATCCTGGCTGCTGGCGTGTGCTTCTGCACAGGTCTGGCACATTCCTTGTAAAGATCAAAGCACCTGACCCGAAGCTCAGCACACGTGCCTGTGATATGGCTGCTTCCATCTGTTGAATGAACACGTTTATTTGGGATTTCCTGGACTAAATAGTTTTTATAGTTTTCTTCCAGTGTATCCACAGCCTGCACAACAAAGCAAGACCCTGTCTCCGTAAAAATAAATAAATTAGCAGGGCACGGTGGTCCCAACTACTCAGGAGGCTGAGGCGGGAGGGTCACTTGAGCTCAGGAGTTCTAGGCTGCAGGGAGCTGTGATCACGCCACTGCACTCCAGCCTGGGTGACACAGTGAGACCCGGTCTCAAAAATAAACCTGAGCACAGAGTGAAAGCCAGAGAGCTGGGGGACTGTGTGAGTCGAGCCTGAACCACGGGCCCAGAACCACAGCCCCGCAGCAGGCCCCGGGCAAGGGCTGCGGGGCGGATGAGGCCTGTAGGGCAAGAGCAAGCTGTTAACTGCTCGTATTACAGTACTCCTGCCACATCTTAAAATTAATTCTATTTATAAAGAAGCGTTATTGTTTCACCCCCCCCCAAAAAATCAAGAACCTTTTTCTTTTCATCTCAGTTACATTACCACAGAGAAGTTCTTAAAGGATGTGGCAAAGCCAGGTCATAGCAACTAAAGGAGCTTTGCAGTTAGGCTAAAAGGTTTGAATTGTGAAGCAATTATAACCTGTTTTTACAAGTTCAATTCAAATGAGATTTAAAGGAAAAGTGATGTGTTCTTTCCTACCTTTCTCCAGAGACAACCACAGTTATTTCTTGTGTTCCTCCTAGAAATTTTCTTTTTTTGAAACAGAATCTTGCTTTGTTGCCAGGATGGAGTGCAGTGGTATTATCTCAGCTCACTGCAACCTCCGTCTCCTGGGTTCAAGCAATTCTCCTGCCTCAGCCTTCCAAGTAGCTGGGACCACATGTACCCAACACCACGCGTGGCTAATTTTTTGTATTTTAGCAGAGACAGGGTTTCATCAGGCAGGTTGCGAACTCCTGACCTCATGATCGAGGCCTCAGCCTCAATCGAGACCTCGGCCTCCCAAAGTGCTGCGATTATAGGCGTGAGCCACCGTACTCAACAGAAATGTTCTACATATACATAAGCATCAAATGCACGCACACACATCACACTCCAGGCACACACATGCACACACACACTACAGCCCTTGCATGCACAACTGCCCACGCACAAGGGTACATCACACCCCAGGCACACACGTGTGCAGACATCACGACTCTTGTACACACACACACCCATGTGGACACACAACCCTTACATGCACATCTCCCATGCACACACACACCACACCCCAGGTACACACTTGTGTGCACACACCACGGCCCCCTGCACACAACCCCCAAGCACACACACACCACACCCCAGGCACACACCTGTGTGCACACACCCCCATGCACACGCACACCACACCCCAGGCACACACCTGTGCACGCACACCACACCCCAGGCACACACCTGTGCATGCACACCACAGCCCTTGCACACATAACCCATGCACACACACATCACACCCCAGGCACACACATCACACCCCAGGCACACACCACTGCCCTTGCACACACCACAGCCCTTGCAGGCACATCTCCCATGCACACACACACACACCACACCCCAGGCACACACCTGTGCACACACCACAGCCCTTGCATGCACATCCCCTGTGCACACATACGTCACACCCCAGGCACACACAAGTGTGCAAACATGACCCCTGCACACACACCCCACGTGCACACACACCACACCCCAGCACATGTGGGCATGCACACAGACCACAGCCTGTGCACACACTTCACACCCCCCAAGTACGTGCACATGCCACAGCCTGTGCATGCACACCCCCCACATTCACACACAACAGACCCCAGGCACACGTGCACACATTCATACCAGAGCGTATGTACGCACACTCCATGTGCACACACAACACCACACCTCAGGCACGTGTGCGCACATTCATACCAGAGCCTATGTACACACACCCCATGTGCACACACCCCACACCCCAGGAACACGTGTGCGCACATTCATACCAGAGCCTATGTAAACACACCCCATGTGCACACACACCACACCTCAGGCACATGTATGCGCACATTCATACCAGAGCCTATGTACACACACCCCATGTGCACACGCACCACACCCCAGGAACACGTGTGTGCACATTCATACCAGAGCCTATGTAAACACACCCCATGTGCACACACA